TTTGCCACAAGAGAGGATTTTGCCCAGTATAAGCTCGGTTTGATGATATAGGCTTTGCTGTAGAAGATCTGGATTTCTGACCTTATATACAGGGAAGAACATGAGAGTGACTCTTGTAGCTGTGGAGGAAGAAAGGGGCAGGAAAAGTCACTGAGTACTATAAACGTATGTGTTGCTTAAAAATTTTGATGATCTGTTTTCCAGGGTTACTAGTTTAGCCACATTCCTCCTGCCATTTACTGTGGAGATTCAGGAAGCTGCAGAAGACAGGTGGACATGCATACACCCCTAAATCCATCCTCCCTCTGGCCACACATTCCCACGCCAGACTCATGGCAGTCAGTCCTGTGATACCGTCAGCCCTGCTGACTGTGCAGTGGGAAAAGCAACCCTGGGCCAGATGGAGTTGGTCCTTGAATGTCATTGCTGCCCTTGCTCACCCCTGGCCAACCTGGAGCCCAACACCCCAGAGGAACAGCACGTGGGGCACAGCTGTGCAGGACCCTGCCACTTCTCCCAAATCCTGGACACCCCTTTTACACTGCCCACGCTAAAGTTCACTGTCCTGGCACATGTCAAATGTTGTGAGGCTTGCAATAGCACTGTGGGCAATGATAACTCTGCTTTTCTGTGTCATCCTGGTGGCTTAAAGGTGCTAGAAGAGTTAGCGGAGCTGGTTGCCGCACTGGCCCCTCCATGCCTCTGAGGGCTGGAGGCTCTCTGGACTATCTGGATCTCTGCCTCATGTTGGGCTTCATCCCTCCCAAGAGTTCCCTCCACAAGCTGCCCTCCACCAAGCCATAGGTGGGTGCTGGAGAGAAGTTCAGTTTACTCTGTGCTCTCTCCCATGGAGCCCTCTACTTCTGTTTGGCACTTCTTTGTTGTTCTGGTAATACAAGCTAGCAGCCTCTTGAACCAGTGCCTTTATCAGCAGAAGAGCATCATAATTCAGAACATCAAGTGCTGCACTTGTGCCCTCAGGAGGGAATGTAGAGGATGGGAAGATCAAGAAGATGAACCAGCCTGTATCTCTTTGAAAGGCCAAACAAGCACTGAGATGGAGTGTGTGTGTTTATCTAGCAGGTGGGCTTTGCATTCTCAGATACTGCTGCTGGAAGCGGGAATCAGGAATAGATGTCTCTTTTCTCCTTTACTGAAAAGATTCAGGATATCACGATATTTGTCATATACATCTTACTGACATGCAAGAAAATTGCGTGCTTGGTGTACCTCACAGACAATAAGGAATGAAATCTCACCCTGCCTTCATGCCACACTGTAGTTCTGTGGAGTTATTTCAATTTAATGAAAAAAGGAAAAATAAGTAGGACCCCAGAGATATTAATAAAATACCTGTCACACAGCATGTCAGCAGCAGTGGCAACGTGAGAGTGCACAAATCCTGGCCAGTCCTCTGCTTCAACCCCGCTGTTGGCTGGTCCCTGAGTGTCTCCCTACAGATGCCACTATTGGTGTGCCTGAGAGTTTCACTTCAGACTTTCAGCTAAACGGTAAGTGAGAATCTTAGTTGCTTTATGCTCCATCTGTAGTCAATAGCAAGAGATGTAGGGGCAAATCATATCTCACGTGGGCTGAACCACTGTCTGTACGTGCTGGTCCCCTCCATTAACTGTAATCATAGACTAACCAAAGATAATTCAGGTGTGTAGGGTAAATGTCTAAAATTGCACAGTCCCACACCAGTCATATAAATGCACCCTATCATTTACTCAGAGTGGTGCACCATTTGAAATGCACCACCACCTGTTCCTGGAAACTCAGAGAATACATTCAGGGCCTTTTGTCGGGTTTCTTCCATGGCAAGCTGCAGGTTTGCGCATGCAGCGCTCATCTGTTTGTACCTCTGCCTTTCAGCAGAGGAGGCGTTGCTTAAATAGCTGTTTGTGTGTGTGAATATGGTTATCACTGTTGTTCTCTTTCTTGCCTGCTTCCTTTTGGTGGGTGTGGATCCCTACCTAGGCTAAAGAAGAGAGAAAATTCAGAACCTGACATGGCTGCAGTGTAGCTGATGGGCTGGTAGCTTCCATGCCATCCTCTCTCCCTGTCCTGGGGATACGTTCTCACATTTGGGGTTGGAAATATGAGAACATCACTGATCAAATCTACCACACAGTGGTAGACATTGTATTAACAACACACCCAGAGACTTTCTTTAACCAGAAAAGAGCAAAGGTGAATTCTTGGTCCCATAGAAATCAATGACAAGGCTTGTATGTATTAAAATTTCACACCTTTCTGAAAAGAAGGCGGCATGGGAGATTTGCTGATTCTCTCACTACATAAAAATCTCTTACCTGCTTAAAAAAATCACTGACATTAAAATATACATTCACATTAAAATGGAAGAACTGATAACAAAGAAGCAGGAGATGAGCAAATCATGCTGTAAGTTGGTAACAATACATACGGAACAAAGCCGTTGGAAAAGAACTTGACAGTTTTTTTAATGCTTCAAATTGGAAATGAAAATTAACTGAAAATAAAGCTCTTCAGAGTTTCAAAGATTTCCATGTTGATTTTAAAACCAATAAATTTGGTTCAAAAAAGAGCCTTCTGTTTTCAAAATTGCAAAATGACAGGCTTTGAATTGTTTCTTTTTTTTTCAGCTTGAACAGCTTCAACTTTCAATTCATAAAAATTATAAAAGATATTTCAATCAAACTGAATGTGAATTTTTCTGCCTGTATGTAAGTGAAAATTTTCTTGGAGTTTTGGTCAAAGAAAATTGTGGTTATTTTGACTGTATGTCTAAATGCTGAGTGGAAAAATGCTTGGGTGCTCAAAAAATCTCTGCACCCTAGAAAAATGAATAGGAATCATGTACTGGAACCAAGATTGTTTAGTGACAGACTAAAGCTGGACTCTATTAAGACTGTATGCATTTAAGCCCATAAAAATACCTGGAATGTCACAAAAGTTTCAAAATAATTGACGTTTAAATTACTGAACTGCCTACTAGTTTGGGTAAGCTGTTACTGTCCTGAAGTGTCTCCCTAGCAGGGACAGAAGCACATTGTGCACCACTGCCATCCCTTGTGGTCAGTCTGCCAGGACCCAGCTTCTGGGAAGTGCTGTGCTCCTAAAACCTTTTGATTTCAACAGTTTCAAGACATTCAGGTATCTCTAAGAATAAATGTAGACAAATGAGGAAATAGTTTCTGTGCACTAAGTACTGTGTGGAGAGGGAGGAGAAATGATGGTTCCTATTTTCCATTGGTTTAAAGTCTAAAAGGTTGATTTATTCCATCTTGTGCTATTGTCTGTAACACATGAAATTTATAAATAAATCAAATGCAATTACAGTGTGACATATGATATAGATACCTTGCCTATGCATCTATATATGTCATGATATGTGACTCTCCTTACTGATGCAGCAGTCTTTAGGAGGAGACCAGACAGCACAAGGTGCACAAGCATCGTGTTGCTCGGGCCAGGCATGTTGCTTCAGTTGCATTGCATGCAACACTCAGGTGAAGGTTCTGAAGCATCTCAACTTCCAGCTGTTCTCGTTGACACCATTATTATTTCTTTATGACTGAACCAATATTACCAGAACATGCCCAAGTTCCTGGGTCCTCCTGTGTCATGTCCTGGGGGATGAGTTAAGATGTAGGATATGACCAGTCCCATCTGCCCCTCCTTGATTTCCATGGTAAAGAAATCCAGCCATGTGGGCTGCGGGAAGCCCTGATGTGCTCTAAACAAGTCAGCTAACAGGATGCTGGGAAACCAGGCGTCCTAAGGAGCTCTGCAGCATGCGCTGGGAGGTATGTCTACATGTACTTTAGAAAGTACGCCAGCCATACCCCACTGGGAGTGAGAGAAGCTCTAGGGATGTAGTAGGTAGTATCTAGAGATTGTCTGAATCAAATGCTGAGAAGACCTCTGAAGAAGGGAAAAATTCAAGCTCCAATCTGACAGTTTCACATAGTTTCCAGTGTTATTAATGTTGTACCATTATTGAGGGTCTCCTGGGACTGAACATGTTGTATCACACACATATTTATCCTTCAATTCCTCTTGGAGCTACTTCTCATACAAAGCACAGCGTGATGTTTTCTTACTATCAACTCGGTCAGCTGAGAATATCAGTTTAATAATACATAGAAACTCAAGCTCAACCTAGATGCTTCAGGAGAGTTAGACATGTAACAACAAAAAGACACGGTACCCTACACTTCACTTGTTTCCCCTGTGGACCTATTTAAGTCTTGCTATGGTGTAATGTTAGTAACAAACCTAAACTCAGCCATATGTGATGGTAAAAACAAAGAGATGTCATGTGCTGTGCAGCCAGTCCCCATGAAGTTTGCTTATATCATTGCCAGATCACCCACTGTCTCTCCACAACCCTCCTGCACATGTTTAATATCGCTTTTTATACTTTGTCATCAAGCCTAAAGATCTGCAGCGTAGGTAATGGCACTATCCCACATATTGAAATATTTTATACTGATCTGGTTCTATGGCAGGAATTATTGCTTTACTATTAAGGACATTAGCTGTTGACCAGGGTCCAGTTATTTTGTAAATTCATAAAAAAAAAAAAAAAAACCAAGGAAAAGAAGGCCAAGTCTTGGCATAAGCATAGCAGGCGGTTGCCTCGTGTAGCAGGTGGTGAAATGACCGTTGGCCTCCAGACATGCCCAGCTGAAGCCAAACTGGCTGTGAACGAAATGGAAGTTGGTATGTGGAAGTAGGTAACATTTCCAAGAGCAGCTGTTGCCACCTCCACCACTTCCTTCTGCTGGAAACAGGAGGAGCACCAAGCTTGGGGTTTTTTTTAGGGTTCTCACCACGCTCCCTGCCCTTCTTCTTTGTCCCCTCCTGTGACAGGAGTGGCCTTGCCTGGTTACCACCCTGATCTGAACTTTGATAATAGGCGCTGCTGGGAATTCAGCTGGCTCTTACTGTGATTGATAAACATTTAATTAATTACAGTGGCATACTGTATGTACCAAAAAAGAAGTTATTACCTGTAAAGTTTACTTTCAGGAGATAATCTTTGTACAGCTTCCTGCCATCCAGATGCTTCATGGCATCACAGAGTTTGGTGGTGTTTGGACACAGAGTCCGCTGCATTTTATGCAAGGCGTGGGCCATTGCATACACAGCATTCACAACAAACATGATCTTGGATTCTTGCTCATAGTTGGAACTGTTGATGGTGAAGTGCTTGTCACAAGCCTTTTTATGTGGTTTTCGGTTCTGGAGATTACACTGGAATTTTTGTTCCCAGAAGTCCTTGAACCAGGGGTTGCGTCTGTTATTGTAAGGGCTGAGGCTTTGGAAATACTTGTCAAACTCTTTAACCGGATGGGAAGCAAGTTCCAAGGTTATTGCCCCAGAAGCTATGTGCTCATTGCCTTTGACAATACTCTCTTGTGCCCCCCATCCATCGCTGGCAATCCAGGTAAAGGAAACGTTGAAGCGGTTGGCAGCTGCAATGAGCTCCCGAGAGTCATCGCCTCGCATGAAGAGCACCACCACTCTGGCATTGGGCTTCTGGAGCAGCTCTCTGATCACGCCGTCATAGGACTTCCTGATGTTGGACCGGCCCACTTTCTCGGAGGTGGCGATGCAGATGTTGCGGAGGCGAGCTTCCTGCTCAAAGGCTTCGATCCCTGTCTCCCCGTAGTCTCCTTCTGAAGCAACCGTTGACACGTAAGTCCAGTTGAAGTACCGTAAGATTTCGGCCATGGCTTTCGCTTGGTAGAAGTCAGGGGGCACTGTCCGCGCAAAATAGTCGTAGCGGGATTTGTCGCTCAGTTTGGCACTGGTGGAAGCGTAGCTTATCTGGGGGATCTGGAAGAGTCTGAGCAAATTTGCCACCTAGAGAGAAGAGGGAAAACACAGAGGTGGTATTTATAAAACTGAACAGAAAAATCTAGGGAGAAGCATAAACAGTGTTTTTTATAAGAGGTTTCTGACAATCACAGATTAAGGGTGGTGATAGAGGAGGCTGATAACACATTCCGGTGAGAAAACTGCATTGTGCATGTGCAGAATAGCTGTTCTGCTGCCCAGTTAATTCCAGGATCCTACTGGGACTGTAATGGACCATTTATTTCTGTGAAACTGGGTCTGTTTAAACCAACAGAGAATTTGACATGAATGGACAATGCACTTCAGCCTCAGCCTGTGCTCCTGACTAAGATCTGGGGATTTTCATGCCTTTCCTTTTCATAGTGTGATTCATCTTCTCCAAGACTCATTGTGTTTGATAACCAAATGTACCAACAAGACATAAGTTTCTTTTTTATGCAAATATCACAGATATACAGGTAGAGGCCTTTCATAGAACTTTCTGACCCCACTTATTCAAGCTCTGAGTCCCCACTTCTACTTTTTACTTTTAAACTCATTTATCTGAGCTGTTCCAACTGGAGTCCTCCTGAGATGGCCTATTTGTTGCATGTTAGTACTCCTCTGGTGCTGCACAATGTCATGTTGACCTACAGGTTTTCATAGGTAATAAAAACTTTTAATAATCTCTAATTGCCCTTCTTGTGTGATTTATGTTGTCCAAAGTCCTGTTTTGTGTGGGTTTTTTTTCATATGTTGCTGTGTACCTTGCTTAAATATTCCCAAATTGACTCTCTTACTCTCATAGAAGTGCAGCTCCTGAGAATATCTGGGAAGAAATGAGGAAAGGTTATGGCATTTTTTTTCCTGTGATTGCTTCTTAAATGACAAAGGGAAGACTTTGGCATTCTGCTCTTGGTGAGTGGAAGTTTTGTCCAGTAAATTAAACTTAAAGCTACTTTTGGAGTACAGCCTGACATAACCATCTGAAAAGTAATAATGCACTTGAGATTCCTAAGGGAAACTTATTAAAAATTGCTCAATCAATTAATTTTTCACATTTGCCCCAAATGTTTCTCTGACCACAGACTTTGTCTGGGAGAATTCAAAGGCAAAGGAGTGTTTTGAAAAAGAATGTTGTGGAACAAGGCAAATTTTAAAGTCTCAGATGTCAATAGCAAAATAGACAGTCTGGTAAAATTGGCAACCCTTATCTCTGGGGATTTTATAGATTTAGATTCTGTCTTTTCTTTAATGTAGACACTGGAGCAGTGTCTCTCTGTGGCTTGTTTCCCACTGTAAACTGGTGTAATCTCTTGTCTGGGCCAGACTGCTGGCTAACCACACGTGCACAGTGCCTTCCACGACCACCTGAACCATCGACACAGGGGACTTGAGGAGACCCATGTCCTACTGTCCTTCTGGGGCACCAGGGAAGAGCAGGTGGGATGCCCTGGCACCTCAGCTGTATCTGGGCACCTGAAGCATGTCTTCATAAAATAAACCACGCACAGTAGTTTACTTTCATTTAAACCAAAATAAAGCCTCTTTTATTCTGCTTGGAAGGAGTATTCTAACAGTTTTTGGTTTTGCATATAAGTCTTGGCACATGGCTGGGAAGTGCTGTGGCTGAGCAAGTTACTGTCCCTCAGGAAAGAGCTGATGTGTCCTTAACCACCCTGCTAGGTAGTAGCATGCCTTATAATGGAAATGTGGGATTTAATTTCCATTGTGGTGATTTAAACGAACAGCTTTAAAGCAACAAAGTGGGCTGAGGGGCTTGTTTTGTTACCAAGGTTCAATGGATGCTTTGAGCATTGTGGCTTTGTGACTTTTGATTACAAGCCCACATATCCACATGGTTTGGTTCACATGTCCTCACTCAAAAAAAGCACTTTGATTTGGCAACAAGAATGTCCTCCATGTAGCTATTCTGGAACATTTCTTGCAGAACTGTGTGGGCTGGAATGGCTGTTCTTGTCTCAGTTTATTCTAGCAGGAACTATTTTATTTGAACTAAACCATAATAAGGATATGCACATATATAATTCTGCATTCACCCCCTAAATCGGCTAAAAAAGAACTCCATTTTCTAGCTAAAATAGTGCCATTCAGTGTGTAATTGAGCCTTCAGCTCACGGAAGGATACTCCTAACAAATATAACAGCTTTTCTATTTTTTTTTTTTCTTTCTTTCATTCTAAGCAGCAGAAGTATCCATATGCAGGGAAAAAGAATCCCATTTTCCAAGGGAGCCCTGAGCCTTGGAGGTCGCTATACTTCTGGTGTCCCTGCAAAATCCCTGCAATTCTGTTTCCCCTGCTATGGGGAGAAGAACACTTTCCTGCAACAACATTGTTTGCTGTTAACGCTCTTCACTGCAAAGCTGTCCAGATGGCAGTTTTTTCATAGACCAAAAATTACAAAATGTAAGAAAGTCATCATAGACAATAGTGACCCAAACGTGCCTAAGAACTGCGACTGATCATGGAAGTTCTATCAGTAAAGTTCTATCTGTTATTAGTTCAGACCAGAACACTATTCTGGAAATTGTGACGTTGGGAATTTTCTGGAATATTGCAACATCTTGATTTTAAGGACTCATATTTCAAAAGAGCTCAGGTCTCAGGCACTTAGCTGGTGCAGCCAGTTTCAGAAGGGTCCCTTTTTCCAGCCATTTCCATGCTGGAATGTCTGGTGAAAATCAGACCCCGATTAAATGAGCAACAAGATAAGGGCAGAGGTAACAGATTCTGGAGAGGAGCTGATATCTAAGGCCACGTCTATTCTGCAGTGTCTCAGTGCAGCAGAGGACAGTGCAATGTGAACCAGTGTTACGTGCGCTGAGAGTGAACCACCCGAGGCAGACCCACACCGTAGCTCGGTGCTGCCTTGGACTGTGGGCTGCAGCTTCAAAATTGCAGCATAGATCCAGCTTTTGCCAAGTGAAATAATCCATTCTGGCAAAGCTCCAGGCAGCAATTTAATCAAGCCCCGGTGCATGCAATTAGAGCCTGAAATCCATATGTTGGCACTTAAGTAGCAGTAGTAGCCTGTTTTTTTTTGCTGTCAAAACCAGTGGGTTTTGCAGATGCTTAGCACCTTTGAAAATAAGGCTGGATGTGCCGTTGCTGCAACCCTAAACCGACCACTTTGCACAGCTTGCTGTGAACAAAAGTCTGTCGGTATAGTCAGCTTCCAGCATGACGGAAAACCTTTCTTTGCCCTCACGCTGCTGGGTTCATTAGTGTAGCCACTGTCCTGTGCTAAAGTGCCCGCTTCCCCAGTGAACCTGGCTCTCACCCAGCTGCTGGGATGGAGGGGGATTCATTAGGAGCCACCCAACATGAGCATGGCAGAAAGGCCAGTGTGAGCCGTGTCCCTCCGTAGGGACAGACTGCACCAGCAAATCCTGCGAACAGAGTGGCCAGGGCAGTGCCAGAGGAGACTGATGTCCCTGTCACGGCGCTGGAGCCCCATCTGTCACCTCTACTTCTCTGTGCATCAGGGACGGTGCGAATACTTCTGGGAAATTGCCAATCTAGTTTATAACACTGAAAATGGCTTCCTAATACCTTTCTGCAAGGAGCAGTGAATTAGGTACAGCCATCAAATGTGGGAATCTGGTTTCTGAGTATATTTCTGGCCATTCAAGACTCTTGATGATAGATGGGGTCAGGGAAGTAACACTTATAAGTCTCAGAAACTCATATATGGATCTATTGAATCCCATTAGGCATTTTGCCTCTCGTCCGTAGGACTTTCCTTGCTGGCAGTAAGATTTATTCTGGTGTTTTGATTGAAAATTCCCTTCTTAACAGTGCAGAGTTTGTTACATCAGTTGTTTGAATGTGTACAGGGCTGGGGAGCACAGGAAACACTTGGGGGAAAAAAACCCCCAACAACCTCAAAGTGTTATAACAGATAGGGTTTCTTCAACACAATACACAAGTGTGTATCACACATTTGTTGGACAGAAGAGGCATCTTGTTAGATGACAGTGCTCTCTGCACTTCTAAAATTCTACCACGTGAGAATCTCATGGCACTTAACACGGCTTAATGAATCTAATTGCACAGAGCTCCTTTGAGACAGCCAGGAGCTCCTGTGGCTGTTTTGAACAGACAGTAAATTAAGCTGCTGAGCAGAATGGGGTTGAGGTAAAGGAGGTTTGTCTCTGTTGAGAAACTGGAGAAATCCCCGTCTCTCTGAACTGCAGTCTGTCCCAACAGAGACTCAGTCACTGCCTTTGGTCTCCTGAGAAAGTCATTCTATTCCTGAGGATACACTGCTTGTCCAGATTCCCACAGCAAGACCATGGCAAAGCCAGGTCCCAAGGATTTCCTAATGTCTAGGTCATTGCTATAACACAGGGGCTGAGCTCTTGCTTTGAAGAAATATGTGCTGCTGCCAGTGTATGTTGTATCTAGTTCCTAAATGATGGTAATCTATGGTGTGGGCTTTTTGCTATTATTTGGGCAGTTGCAGGTCAAACTATGGCTAAAGCATTTGTTCCAATAAATAATTTTTATTTTTTGCTTATTTGATTTTTTTTTTCTTAAATTTAAACATATTTTACCAAAATTATGGCAGAAGGTGGTATTTTAGAGAGGCAGGAAAGAAACATTGGTTATGCACTGGCCTGTGCACCCTCCCCATGCTCCCAGCTCCTGGCTTGTACATTTTGTGTCAAGTTAGAGCCTCCCTTCTTTCAATTTATAACCATTTTCTTCTATCCTCTTGTCATGCATCTCAGTAAAGACACTTGCTTTGTGTTCTTGAGAACGGACCTGTACATACTGAAAAAGTGATATTAGGTTCCCACCAAACCTTCTCTTCTCCAGGCTAAACACACCTCAACCTCTTCTAGTAGGGTACATGCTCCAGACTTTCCTCACCACAGTCATCTCTGTATTTATGAAATCTTTCTTTTGTTGGGGGATGCAAAGCTAGACATAGTATTCCAGATGTGGTCCAATAAGAATCCAATAAATAGAAATAAGTAGAATAAATAGAAATAATTATTTC